AGGCCTCGCGGGCGATAGCGGGGGTTTCTTGGGCCGTCTTGAGCCGCCAGAATGTAGGAAAAGAAACAATTGCCAAAGTCCTCCAAAAACACATGGAAAATCAAGGAGAGTGGCTTCTTCGGGCCCTCCTGGTGGACCTCTTGGGGGCCTCTTGGGCCGTCTTGGAGGCTTCTTGGGGGCCTCTTGGGCCGTCTGAGGCCATCGGGGGGCCATCTGAATCCGTCTTGGGTGCAGATTGGGCCGTTTGGGATGCATTTTGGGGCCATGTTATCCGTCTTGGAGGCCACCTTGGGCGTCTTGGAGGCCTCTCGGGCCGTCTTGGGGCCCTCGTGTTTTTTTTCCCTCCCCCGCGTGCTTCGCGGGGCTCTGGTTTTCTCCCCTGCCGCGCCGCACCCGCGACGCACCCTCGACGCTCACCTCGCTCTCCCCCCTCCCCCCCTCGCAGCACAGCTCAGACCGCTCAGCTCAGCTCAGCTGGGCTCAGCACGGCACAGCTGAGCACAGGTCTGCTCAGCTCAACTCAGCACATCACAGCGCAGCGCAGCTCACCGCAGCACGGCACAGCACAGCACAGCCCACCGCACAGCAGCACAACACAGCGCAGCACAGCATAGCACACAGGACTGGCGCGCAGGGCACGGCACGGCAGAGCGTTGCAGGGGTGACACTTTCTCGACACCAGAGAGGGTGCGCAGGGCGTGGCCCCTAGCAGGCGTGGCACTTCTTCGACGCCACAGGGGGTGCGCTGGGGGTGGGGGCCCACCGCGGTCTCTATACGCGCCAATGTCGCAGGGCCTAGCAGGAGTACGTCTCCTCGACGCCAAAGGGGGTGCGCTGGGGGCGGGGGCCCACCGCGGTCTCTATACGCGCCAATGTCGCAGGGCTTAATTCTTTACGCTTTGCGTATCCCCACCAGCCCAGCTCACAACAGCAACTCTTGCGAAACATGCCGACAGTCGTGTTTTTCAGGCGTGTGTCCGCTTGGCCCCGCATATCTCCCCTGTTCCTCCTTCCTCCCGCCTCCTTGTACATCCTCCTTGTGGGGGGAGCGGGAGAAGGACGAGGCGGAGGAGGAGGGAGAGAAAGCGCTCCTCGTGGTTTGAGTCGTTTGGGGTTTCTCGTCCTGGTGTGAGTCGTTCGGGCCCTTCTTCCTGGTGTGAGTCGTTCGGGCTCTTCGTGGTGTGAGTCGTTCGGGCTCTTCGTCCTGGTGTGAGTCGTTCGGGCTTCTCGTGGTGTGAGTTGTTCGGGCCCCTCGTCCTGGTGTGAGTCGTTCGGGCCCCTCCTCCTGGTGTGACTCGTTCGGGCTCCTCGTGGTGTGAGTCGTTCGGGGCCCTCGCCGTGGTGTGAGTCGTTCGGGCTCCTCGTGGTGTGAGTCGTTCGGGCGCCTCTCGTCCTGGTGTGAGTCGTTCGGGCTCCTCGTGGCGTGCTGGTGTGAGTCGTTCGGGCTCCTCGTGGGGCCTCTTGGGGGCCTCTTGGAGGCTCTTGGGGCCTCTTGGGGGCCTCTTGGGGGCCTCTTGGGGGCCTCTTGGGGGCCTCTTGGGGCGTCTTGGGGCCTCTTGGGGGCCTCTTGGGGGCCTCTTGGGGGCCTCTTGGGGCCTCTTGGGGGCCTCTTGGGGGCCTCTTGGAGGCCTCTTGGGAGCCTCCTGGGGGCCTCTTGGGGCCAGCTTGGGGTCTCTTGCGACCTCCTCAGAAGCGCAAGTGAGCGCTGCCCCCTGAGAAGGACACAATGAGCCCACAACCTTCGTAAAATCAATGATTTTGCTATGAAGGAAGAGGAGCGCTGCCCCCGCAGAAGGCCAAAATGGGGCCGAAACCGTAGTATAATCAATGATTTTCGCTTCAAAGAAGAGGAGAGGGTTTTTTCTCCTCCCCCCCGTCGGGACCAGAATCCTCGTGAGGGGTGTCGTTTTTTAGCCCTCCCAGGAGTCGAAATCGACCCCCTCTGACGACCCGCGGCCCCCCCTCTCCAGGCCCAGGGGGAGGGGGTAGGTGGAGGGGCAAACCCTTCCCCGAAGGGGAAGAAGGGGGGTTGAGGACAGAGAGAGCTCGCTAAACCACTCACGCCCAAAGGGCTGGTGGGAGTAGTAGTAGTGTGAGTCGTTCGGGGCCCGCGTCGTGGTGTGAGTCGTTCGGGCTCCTCGTGGTGTGAGTCGTTCGGGCGCCTCGTCCTGGTGTGAGTCGTTCAGGCCCCTCCTTGTGGTGTGAGTCGTTCGGGCTCTTCGTGGTGAGAGTCGTTCGGGCCCCTCGTCCTGGTGTGAGTCGTTCGGGCTCCTCGTGGGGCCTCTGGGAGCCTCTTGGGGCCTCTTGGGGGCCTCTTGGGACCCTCTTGGGAGCCTCGTGGGGGCCTCTTGGGGCCTCTTGGAGCCTCTTGGGGGCCTCTTGGGGGCCTCTTGGGGGCCTCTTGGGGCCGCTTGGGGGCCTCTGGGGGGTCTCGTGGAGGCCTCTTGGGAGCCTCCTGGGGGCCTCTTGGGGCCATCTTGGGGCCTCTTGCGACCTCCTCAGAAGCGCAAAGAAGAGCCACCCCTTGAGAAGGACAAAATGATGCCAAAACCTTAGTAAAATCAATGATTTTACTATGAAGGACGATGAGCGCTGCCCCCTCTGAAGTCCAAAATGGGGCCAAAACCCTAGTAAAATCAATGTTTTTGGCTTCACAGAAGAGGAGAGGGACTTATCTCCGGCCCCCCGTCGGGGCCAGAATCCTCGTGAGGGTCGTCGTTTTTAGCCCTCCCAGGAGTCGAAATTGACCCCCCTGACGACCCGCGGCCCCCCCTCTCCAGGCCCAGGGGGAGGGGGTAGGGGTAGGGGGAGGGGTAAACCCCTCCCCGAAGGGGAAGAAGGGGGGTTGAGGACAGAGAGAGCTCGCTAAACCACTCACGCCCAAAGGGCTGGTGGGATTAGTAGCAGGCGTGGCACTTCCTCGACGCCGCAGGGGGGGCGCTGGGGGTGGGGGCCCACCGCGGTCTCTATACGCGCCAATGTCGCAGGCCTAGCAGGAGTGGCGTTTCCTCGACGCCGCAGGGGGTGCGCTGGGGGTGGGGGCCCACCGCGGTCTCTATACGCGCCAATGTCGCAGGGCCTAGCCGGCGTGGCATTTCCTCGACGCCACAGGGGGTGCGCTGGGGGTGGGGGCCCACCGCCGTCTTTATACGCGCCAATCTCGCAAGGTCTAGCAGGAGCGGCATTTCCTCGACTCAAGTGGCGGTGCGCTGGGGGCGGGGGGCCCACCGCGGTCTCTATACGCGCCAATGTCGCAGGGCCTAGCAGGCGTGGCAGTTTCTCTGCACCGGAGGGGTGCGCTGCAAGCTCCCAGGGCGTGGCAGGCGTGGCATTTCCTCGACGCCACAGGGGGTGCGCTCGGGGTGGGGGCCCTGTGCGCCGCAGGTTCCCAGGGCGCGGCAGGCGCTGCATTTCCTCGACGCTACAGGGGGCTTGACAGCAGAGGGGGTACGTAGGTAGCGGAGCAGCCTTGACATTTTTTGGAGTCTGTATCTTGGGCAGTACGCACCGGTGCCTCAGGGCATAGCAGGCGCGGCATATTCCCGACACCACAGGGGGTGCCCACGGGGTGGTCTTTGAGCGCGGCCGCTATCCGTGACGGTCGTGCTCAAGGCGCATCGGCACGCAAGCTTGCTACCCGTGCCAGTCGCGCTCAGGGCACAGGGAAACGCAAACGCAGTGAGTGGTGTTATCATCAAGCATTTGTAGCCACCTTGGCTCATGCCGTCTCAGGCCGTTCGGGTTTGTACGCAGGCGCGCTCGCGCCAGTGATTGTTCGTCAAAGGTGCGGCGCCCGTCATGGCGCCCAAATGTGCCACGTCCGCGCCGCCGCTTCCGTGCGAGAAGCTCAAGGACTCAATGCCCGAAACATTCGCGACGAGGGTTCAAAACTCAGGGTTTGGCTCATATGATAATGGTAAGCCAAGACATAAGATTTGAAATAAGTATGTGGGGGTCCTCGGTAGCGTCATTTGGGGGTTTCTTGGGCCGTCATGGGACCACCTGGGAGACCTCGGTGGCGATCCTCGAGCGATCTTGGGGGCCGTCTCGGGCCATCTTGAGGCCATCCCATGCCGTCTCGGGTGCATCTTGGGCCGTCTTTGAAGGCATATCGGGCATCGTAGCCGTCTTGGAGGCCATTTTGGCAGTTTTGGAACCCTCTTGGGCCCTCTTGGGGCCTCCTCAGGGGCCTCTTAGGCCGTCGTGGGCCCATCTTTGAGGCCTCGCGGGCGGTGGTGGGGGCTTCTTGGGCCGTCATGAGCCGTCGGAACGCCGAAAAGAAGCAAATGCCAAAGTCCTTCAAAAATGCATGGGACATCAATGAGATTTGGCTTCTTCGGGCCCTCCTGGTGGACCTCTTGGGGGCCTCTTGGCCGTCTTGGAGGCCTCTTGGGGGCTTCTTGGGCCGTCTGAGGCCATCCGGGGGCCATCTGAGGCCGTCTTGGATGCAGATTGGGCTGTTTGGGATGCATCTTGGGGCCATGTTATCCGTATTGGAGGCCATCTTGGGCGTCTTGGAGGCCTTCGGGCCGTCTTGGGGCCCTCATCGGGCCTTTTTGGGGGCTTCTTGGGCCGTCATGGGGCCACCTGGGATGGGGGGCCTCTGCGGCGATCTTGGGGCGATCTCGGGGGCTTCTCGGGCCGCCCCCAGCCGTCGGAGTGCCGAGAAGAAGCAAATTCCACAATCCTTCAGAAACCGAAGGACAACCGCTGATTTGCGCCTCTTCTGGCCCTCCTGGTCGGGTGGCCGGCAGGGCGCGCCGGAGCCCCAGGGGAGGTTCTTTTGGGACAAACCAAAACCAAAACCGAGATCACCCAGCACGCCAGGCGCCCCTGCGATGAATCGACAGGGGGCGGCGGCCGGCGGGCATCAATCTTTGCCGATGGTGAATGTGCTCGTTTGGCGCGCACCAGCAGACGCACTAGACGACGCGCAGTTGGCGCGTCCATGTTGTGCAGTGGTTGGTGACGCTTGCGTGGGTGGCGCCGCGTCGTCGCCCATGGCGCAGCTGCGTTCCCCTTCACCCACTTGCCCCGCCCAGTCCTGCAGCGTGCGGAGACTGGGCGTCGTCGAAGGGTGCCGGGGCGTTTTTCGGGGGCGCACCCTCCGATGACGATCGGGCCGCGAGAGTGAAAAGGGCGCTTTCACTCTTTCACATCATTCTCCACTTACGGATGAGACGGTAGGTCGACCCTTCGGTTCGTAACCTCCGTTCGTTGCCCCCCTCGACGAATCGGGCAGTGGCGCGGCGTCTTGGCTTGCCTATGGGCCCACCAAAGAGTGCATTAATAACCTTTCGTGGTCTGCGCGAAATGTTTGGAGCGCGGTTCTGGCTGAGGCGGTCTTGTTTCAACGTATCGGGCCTACGGTCTAAGAACGTTGCTTTGGTTCTAGAACATGTTTGGATTCGACGAGCGCGTCGCGGCACGCCATGGGGAATGGCGGGGCGGTCGGTCCGCATTCATCTCCTGCTGCCCCCTTGATCAACGAGGGGCGCGTCGGACGGCGACGAGCGGCTTCCCGGCCCCGGGGTGCGCACCAGGCGCTGCGCCGCGCGCCTCGCCGAGAGCACCCCCCCGGGGGCGCCCGGGCCGCCCCGATCGGCCGCGCGAGGCCCGCGGCGCGCCCGAGAGCCGGGCGAGGAGGATCGGGTCGGACGAGGGGGTCAGGGGTCAGGGGCAACGATCGGGGGGGATAACAATAGTTATGGGGGACGCATCGGCCCCCAATCGCCGATTGATCGCCGACGGGGTCCTGGTGGCCCCAACCTGCGTGGGAACGTCCGGTTTCACTATCGGGGCCACGTCGCCGATTTGTCGGCGAAGTATCGCCGATTCCAGGTCGATGCGCCCCCCCCTAATTATGCCAATCCCCCCAGATCGCTGCCCCGCAGGGGGAAGGGGGGCACAACTGCGGAAGGGTCCGCAATCTGCTGCGCGCAACTGGCGTCGGCTCGCCGCCGCGCGCCGCCATCGCTGCGTTGGCGTCTCCGGCGCGGGGGGGCGCGGGGGGAACCAGCCGAGTGCATGAACTCATTCCTGTTGCCGTCGCCGCCGCCGTCGCCGCCGCCGCCGTCGCCGCCGCCGCCGCCGCCGTCGCCGCCGTGGTCGTCGTCGTCGTCGTCGTCGTCGTCGTCGTCGTCGTCGTCGTCGCTGGAATCACCACCGCACCGCAGTCGGCAGTGTCGTCGTCTTTCTCGTCGCCGCTCCGCGGCCGCTGCGGCCGTCGTCGTCGCCGTCGCCGCCACCGCGAGCGGCATCCTCGGCGCTGTCGGCCGCCCGCCAGGTTGCCGCGGGGGCCCCGCAAGGGCCACGCGGCGGTTCCGCGCCCAGGAACCGCGCGTCCTCGTCCGGGCGCGGCAGGCCCCCATGGGCGCCGCCGCCGCCTTCCGTCGCTGCCGCCGACGCCGCCTGCCGCGACCGCCGCAGACGCCGCTGGTGCCGCAAATGGCGGCCGCCGCCGCCGCCGCCCGCCATCGCCGTCGCTGCCGCCGCCGCCAGCCGCCGATGAGATTCGACGTTGCGAAAAATTTGCAGCATCGCGGGAAAAACACGACCCAGAGCCTTGGATCCTGACCGTCAGGTTGCACTTGTCGAGCCAGGTCGCTTTGGGTCGGTCCCAGGGCCCGACAGCGGGCGAAAACGCTTTGTGCCCGGACCCCCGACGTCGTGATTTTTCACCACGTCGACCCCCCGAGAGGATTGGACTCCTTCCCCTGGGACAAGTTTTTCATCCTGGGTTGTTTTCTGACGGTCCCGAGGCCTGGCGAGGGCCCCGGCCCCCGGATGCCAAAAATATGGACCCCGTCGTGATTCTTTCACGACGCGAGGGGGTCTGGGGTCTGGGCGCGAAAAGATTGCAGCGCCGGGATCTCATGGGACGTCGCGCCCCGCCGCCCGCAGTCGTCGTCGCCACGGTTCGTCGGGGCCTGGCAGGCCCCGGGGCGCCGGCGTGGCCGGGGAGGGCGGCGAGGAGCTGCCCGGGGGCGCCGCGTCCAAGGGCCGCGCGTCCTCGGCGGGGCCTGTCAGTCCCCGGAGCACCGGCAGGGGCCAGGAGTCGGGGTTCAACGTCAGGGGCGGTTCGAAGAAGGGAAAACACCATAAACAGAATTACCCCAGTGCGACCCTACTTAGAAGTTGGAGCCCCTAGGAAAGCAGCATTAGTTGCTATGCTATGCCATGCTATGCTGCGCTATGGTATGCTATGCTATGCTATGCTATGATATGCTGCGCTATGCTATGCTAAGCTATGCTATGCTATGATATGATATGATATGGCATGCTGCGCTGTGCTATACTAAGCTATGCTATGCTATGCCATGCTATGTTAAACTGCGCTATGCTATGCTATGCTATGCTGCGCTGTGCTATGCTGTGTTGCGTTATGTTATGCGTTGCTATGCTGGGCTATGCTATGATATGCTGTGCTGCGCTATGCTACGCTATGCTGTGCTCTGCTATGCTAAAGCTCAGCGAAGCTAAGATGAAGGTAAGCTAAGCTAAGCTAAACCTGAGCTAAGATGAAGCTAAGCTAAGCTAATATGAAATAAGCTAAGCTAAGCTAAGCTAAGCTAAGGGGACGTAACTGGGGGAACCGCGGGGCGGATCCTGGGGGAACCGCCCAGGGCGTCTTCCACTGCCCGGCCCTTTAAGCCCATAGAGTAAGAACCCTTCTAGGCAGAGCCTAGGTAGGGAATTTTCTGGCGCCCCGCGCGAATTTCTTCGATCCGCGCTAGGCCCCTCGGCGGCTCCGGCGCCGCCCGTGGCGCGTTCTGCGCGCCACAGGGAGATGGGCGCAGCGCGGATCCAAGAAATCCGTGCGGAGCTACAAGTTTATGTTTATGCAGTTTTTACTCCTTCTAAACGTCAAGGGGTGTAGGCTCAGGGGAAGGATGCCTCGATCCTAATCAACCTTCTCGTCTGTGGTTTTTCAGTCAGCCCTGCGGGATGCTCTCTACCGGCTGCGCCTTGCCGAGGGGCGTCCCAGGCTGCCCGGATCGTTCGGAACGGCCTCCGGAAAGCCTAGTTATGGCCAGAAAACAGGCGGGGAACGCGGGGGGTTTGGGCTCAGTGGGGGATGCATCGACCCCCAATCGCCTATTCGTGGCCATTTGGGGCCTGATATCCCACCATCCCTGGGAACCTGCGGATTCGGCATCGGTTACCGATCTATCGGCGATGCATCGACGATTCCAGCTCGATGTCTCAATGCCTAGGTCGCTCGCCCCCCCATCGCTGCCCTCACAGGAGGGCTGCCAGGCCCAGGGCCCCGCCGCGCTGTACAGGAGGTTCGGGGGACAGGAAACGGCGCGAGCGTACTTGGAAGCTGGGAAAAGGGACTTGGTCCAACCCTTCCGCTTTTTCCAGCCCTGGCCAGTTATCCTTTTTTTCCAGCCCTGGAGACCGCATTCCTACTGTTTCGGGTCCGCTCCACCACCTGCCAGTGTTTCCAGCCCTGGACACTTCCATTTTCACTTATACTTTCCAACTTCCGCTTTTCCCAGCTTCCTTGTAAATTTCCAAGGGTCCGCGCGGAGGTTCTCGGGTCGGAGCGGGGCTTCCCTGGCGGCGCCTCCGGCGCCGCCCCCTGGGCGCGCTCCGCGCCCCGGGGGGGGGGGGGGTCAAGCGCAGGTCTAAGCAATCCGCGCGGGCCTCTCCCGAGATCCGACTGCGCGAAAAGCCGAAGAACCGTCAGGAGTCACGACAGGAGCCCTGCGCCCATCCTTCCGCGCCATGTTTCGACCTGGATCGATCCGCGAAGACGCCCGGCTCGCAGGAATCGAGGCGCCGGGATCTCAGAGCCGAGTCGCCGTTTCTGTCTGTGCCGCATCTTCCCCTCGAGGTGGCTGGAGGAGCACAGGCCGCCGGGCCCCGCGGGCCCCGCGCGGGAGGGCCGGGTGCGGGGCGCCCTCGCGGAGCGGACGAGCGGCGGGAAGGGAGCCCCGGGAGTCGGGGGGGGGCGGCCAAGAGGGGGGTGATGATGAGGGAGGGGTGGATATCCTCAGACGTGGGGCGTCTCGAAAAAATTGGAACGGAGGTTTTTCTTAGTTTTCGGCTTCTCAGGGCCCTCGCCGGGCCTCGGGACCGTCGAAAAACGAACGGGGACGAAGAGCCGGTCCCGGGGAAGTGGTCGGGAGGTCGGGGGCCCGTGTCTCGAAAAAATCGGAACGCCGGATGTTTTGGCCATGGCTGGGGCCATGATATATCCCAAGATTTCACGGCGCCTCTTCTTATCTAAATCCGTCCCCGCCCCCCCTGCCTGGGTCGCGCAGATGCCGCCGGCCGTGATATGCGCCCCCCCTCTTGGACGCCCCCCTCTTGGCCGGAGGGAAGGGTCCACGGAGTTGATCTCGAACGACTTCGTGGGTGAAGTCGCAAGAACGGGGCCCTGTCGGACCGGGTTAGGAACGAGGATAGATAACTCCATCCCAGAGCGTTCCGTATCGCTTTCAAAGCATTCCAGAACGCTCTGAGAAGGCCGCGGCGCCCGAGACATCCTCCAGAGCCGCCGGATCTCGGAGATTCTCGATTTATTATCACACGATGTTATCGTCGTCTTGGCTTCGTCTTACCCTGAGTGGGAGAAGAGAATAACCGCATACACATGGAATGCCAGATCTTCGATAGTTTTTCCCCACACAGGCCCTTGCATTCAGGGTTTCTTCTTCAGCTTCTTTCAGTCATTTGTTTTGTATTCCGTGGCTTTCGCCACGTTGCCGCCCGTGCCACCTCGTGGGCGCCCCGTGTCGTGTGTGGCCTGGGTTTCTAGAGGATTCGCCACGTTGCCGCTTATGCCGCCTCGTGGGCGCCGCGTGGGTGTCCCGTGCGCTGATTTTGCACCACATAGCCAACACGGCATAGCTTACACCACATAGGTTGCACCCCATGGTCACACCACATACCGTGCACAGTACAGCTTACACCACATAATTTACACCGCATAGCATACACGATGTATCTTACACGACAGCTTACGCCGCATAGTTTTCGTGTCGTCGCTGCTTTAGCCCCCGGCTCACGGTGCAGGCCCCGCGCCAAGAGGTGGCTGCAGGAGGCGTGGGCCGAGGAGGAGGCGCGGCGCCAGCCGCAGCTCTCCGCGGGCACCCGCAGGATACTGAACAGCCAGGGGCTCCAGCGGTCCGCGGGCGACGCGGTGGTCCACGAGAGGCTCGGGCACGACAAAGTTGTTCTGGCCACCCCTTTCTGTGAATATCGTGGGCTGCCGAAACGGTGTGGTGACCACCGCGTAGTGAGTCAATGGGGATCCGAGGTCACCGCTCGGTTTTGGGACTCGGGCCGTCCTCCGAAGACGTCTCGGGTGACGGGGGCCTCCAGGGCCCCGAAACCGTGCTGTGACGGACCTCGCGGTGAGGTCTCAGGGGTTTCGAGGTCACCGTACTGTCTGTCACCATGCGGTTATGGGGCCCCAAGAGGCTCGAGCATGAGAAGACTATCTTGGCCACCCCTCGCAGGGACCCCCACCTTTTCTCGCTGTGAAAAAATATCCCGTCGGGCAGGTTTGGGCCATTCTAGGCTTTCGGGGGCCTTCAACGGACCCTGGGACCGTCAAGAAACGACTCGGGATGAAACCCGGTCCTGGGGAAGGGGACCAGACCTCCCGTATGTCCATGGTGAAGAAAAAGCGCGGCGTCGGAGCGACCTGGCGAGCGACCCAATCCTTCGCAGCTGCATGTAACTTTGATGCTGGACCTCCCCTTCGGGGTCCGCCGAGAGGCTGCAATCCTCGTGAGGGGTGTACCGCGCTGAGAGCGGTGCCGCCTCGCGGTCGCGCCCACTGAGACCGCACGTGGATTTTCCTGTTTGGGCCACGAAGTCTGAGGGGTGTGCGGAAGTGGGCGCCATACCGCCTTACATCGGCGCCCGTGCGCCAAAGTGGGTTCAGTGTCGTCGCGCGTCGGCACCCACTGCGACCGTAGATGGAATTGCGTAAGTGGCAGACGTGCCATGGGTGTGCCGACGTGGAGGCAGGGCCGCCGTACGTCGGCGCCCACTGTTACCGCATGTTGATCTTCATGCGGCGGCGCCAACTGGGACCGCAGATGGAGCTTGCGCATGTCAACTTGTGATTAAAAATGATGCCCCCCCCCGTGGGCCTGATGAATAGGCCTTGCGGGGCGTAAAACAATTTTGGAAATCATGCGACCCAGGGGATCGTCACGGGCGCCGCCGAGTGGATCGTGTACCCCCCTTCACGGCAGACTCAAAAATGTTGTCATTCGTAGAGAATGCTTATCCGTAAGGGCTTCGCCCCCTGCCGCCGGCCCCCTCTCTCGGAGAATGGGCCATTGGAAGAGCTAAGTCATGAGGCCTTGGCGCTGTCGTGAAGCAGTATCGAAACTTCATGCGAAGCCGATTCGCAATCAGCAAAACCAACTGATCACAAGAGGGGTTACCACACCTGGCGATTGGTAAGACGTGTATGGTTTACGGGCTTGGTTACCACACCTTGCGATTAAAGGGCCGAGGGAGTTCTCGCAGTTTGGGTTACCACGCCTTGCGATGGATGTGCGTGAAGGGTGGCACCGAATTTCAGAAATGTGGCAAATCCCCTGTGTTTTTGGACCCTGACCCCGCGGATCTGCGTGAGGGGTGGCACCGAATTTCAGAAATGTGGCAAATCCCATGTGTTTTTGGACCCTGACCCCGCGGATCTGCGTGAGGGGTGGCACCGAATTTCAGAAATGTGGCAAATCCCCTGTGTTTTTGGACCCTGACCCCGCGGATCTGCGTGAGGGGTGGCACCGAATTTCAGAAATGTGGCAAATCCCCTGTGTTTTTGGACCCTGACCCCGCGGATCTGCGTGAGGGGTGTCGATTTCGAGCCCCCCCAGCAATTCAGACAACGCGCCCAGGAGACGCTAAAAGTCTTGTTTGGGCCTCCCCCCCCCTCGCGCGGTCAATCAACTAGTTACAGTAACCAGCAAGAAGCAGTAACCAGCAAGAAGCAGAACTGTAACACTGGAAACTACAAGCTACAACTGGTACTGGAAACTGCGAACCCGCGCCTACAGCCTGGTGGCCCCACAAGGGGGCCGGCGGATTTATCTCGCATGCGTGCGAGGCTTGTTACTGACGTGTCACAGTCGTCGTCGTCGTCGGGCCTGCGCAGCACCCGATACACCCCCCACAGGGCATCCTCAAGGCGTCGACGACGTTCGTTCGTCATCTTCTTCGTCGCCGTCGTCGTCGCGTTGTCGTTGTCGTTGTCGTTGTTATCGCCGTCGTCGTCGTCGTCGTCGTCGCCAAGGTCGTCGTCGTTTTCATCGTCGTCGGCGTCGCCGTCGTCGTCGTCGTAGTCGACTCCAGTTGGAGTCGCAGCGCAACACCCCCCTCTTGAGGCCTCCGCAGTGCGTCGTCGTCCGTCGTCGTCGTACTCGTCGTCGTCGTCTTCCTCGTCCCTCGTCGTCGTCGTCGTCGTCCTCGCCGTCGTCGTCGTCGTCGTCGTCGTCGTCGTTGTCGTCGGCGTCGTCGTTGTCGTCGCCGCCGTCGCCGTCGCCGCCGTCGCAGTCGTCGCAGTCGTCGTCGCCGCCGCCGCCGCCGCCGTCGTCGCCGTCGTCGTCGTCGCAGTCGGCCTGCCCCGACCCGAGGAGCATCCGCAGTGAGTCGTCGTCGTCGTCGCCGTCGTCGTCGCCGTTGTCGTCGTCGTCGTATTGTCTTCGTTGTCGTCGTCGTCGTTGTCGTCGTTGTCGTCGTCGCCGTCGTCGACTGCAGCGGGGCCAGCAGCGCAGCACCCCCTTTCTAAGGGTATCCGCAGTGCGCATTCGTCCGTCAACGTCGTCGGCGTCGTCGTCGCCGTCGTCGCCGTCGCCGTCGTCGTCGTCGTCGTCGTCGTCCTTCGTCGTCGTCGTCGAGTGCACTGGGCCTACGCAGCAAACTATCCATGGGGCATACGCAGTGCGTCGTCGTCGTGGCCGTCGTCGTCGCGTAGTCGTTGCCGTCGCCGCCGTCGTCGCCAAGGTCGTCGTCGTCGCCGTCGTCTTCGTCGTTGTCGTCGCCGTCATTGTCGTCGGCTGCAGCGGGACTTGCAGCGCACCCCCCCCATTGGGGTATCCGCAGTGCGTCGTCGTCCGTCGTCGTCGTACTCGTCGTCGTCGTCGTTGTCGTCGTCGGCGTCGTCGTTGTCGTCGCCGCCGTCGCCGTCGCCGTCGTCGCAGTCGTCGCAGTTATCGTCGTCGTCGTCGTCGTCGTCGTGGTAGGACAGATTGCAGTGGTAGTGGAGGGGTGCGGAGGGTGGGAGAGGGAGGAGGAGGAACCCTTTCCTCCTACCGTTGCTGCTTCTCCCCACCTTCCCCCTTGTTTGTAGCCATGGCGGCACCGCCCTCCAGCTGAAGGACCTCTTTCCCCCGCTCCCTCGTTACCGCAGACTTGTGTTTGGCGGGACGCGGGAGTCTCAATCAGCTCCTCAACCTCCTTTTGAATGGCCGCTGGAAAGAGCGCGCGGTCTTTTAGCATTGCCGTTGCAATGGGCCTTGCGCGTGCGCTAGAGTTTTCTGTTTTTCTTTGAATGCATGTCCCTGCTATGTTGATGTAGCGGCGAGGCCAGTGCACGCTTTCCTCGCGCACTTCCCCAGCCGAGGCGGCGATTTTGCTTCCTATGTCGAGTTTTTAACATATCACGTCAGCGGGAGTGGCACGATGAACGGAGCTCAAAGTATGGCTTGCGAGGCGTCAGGGTCGGTGAGCGGAACATCCTGGACCCGCACGGCGGCTCAGAGTTTAAACACCTCGCTCCGGAACGGTAGCGGATGCAAGAGCATTGGACAAAGTATTGTTACTGGGCAAGCTGTCCTGGAATCGCTGATCAGAGCAGCCTCGACTTGTTTAGGGGTGCCGGCTGGAGGACTCTTCGTCGCCCTGGATGGGTTCACCAGTGTACCTCGCGACGCGCGCATACACCGGAACGGTCATATTGATGCGCTTGAACGTAGCATTGGCCAGGGGACCCATGGAATGAAACATGCTTTGCGGGAGCGCAAGATCAAAACCAACAGTCTCGCAGTCGATCTTCTATCAGAAGTCCCCCAGGAATTGTTGGAGAAGCGCGCCATGCTTTGTATGCGGTGTCCCCTGGATTATCTTCCTGACGATGTTGAAATGCCGTGCAACAAATGCATGTCTTAAACCGCCCAGGAGGATAGAGGGACCACGTCATTCATAGCGCATCTTTTTACTTGTACGTGTTTTCATTGGGAGATTCTGGATGGCGAGCTATCTTTGACTTCCCAATCGAGTTGCAATAAGTGTTTGAAGAAACGGGCGCAACGCGGGAGTGTCTCCGGATCAGCACTTCACGCAAACTGTCGGTTGAGTTGGCGCGCGGGCTGGCTGAGATGGAAGCAACATCCAAACAGCCAAGAGTGCAGTCGCGCTTGCGCCAGATACGTGACGACATGCGTCGCTACTTATTTGTTGGCACGCAGGAGCTCATGCAGTCTCTCGAACAACATGCCGCCAAATGAAAAGCTTTATTTTGGGACGAGCGTTCTTATGATTCACCTAGCATACAAGTATGTGTGCCTGGCGAACATGTGCAACAGCTGATGAGGGAGATAGTTTCTGAGATTGCAATCTGTGTAATGAAGGGGGCAGAGCAATGTTTGGCAGTTCGTGGAGAGCACGATTCCTTGGACACCATTCTCGATAGCATAGGTGGTAAGTGTAAACGCAAGTCCGGATTCTGTTGAGCACTGGAGCCGGCTCAGGGCATGCGCCGGCTGCGCGCATTCGTCCACGATTTCGAACGCATCCATTTGCAATCTTGATATGACCCATGGGTAGTTGGATTCTTTCGGGGTGCAAGCTCATTTCCGAGACGCTCGTACAATTTTTTGTCCCAAAATCCATCATTAGCGCGTTGTGCGGAACCCAGTGGTTGTTGAATATTGGTGTCGCCATGTGCCCATTGCAGTTGGAAGCATTTGATGACACCAAGTACGAGGAATCAAGAGATCATCTAGCACCAACGGCCCCAGAACGGACGCATCCAGACCATTCCAACGCGCCAGGCGCGTCACCGCTGCCCGATGCTTCGGCCTTTTGCGCGATGTTCTGAGGATGGCAAGAAAACTGTCTTACAGGAAGTGGTTGTCAACGTGGTTGCGAGTGAGAGTGATTCTTGTTAGTTGGGGCATGTCTTAGAACGCACC